AGGGCGGGAGGCGGTGGCGGCGGCGGTGGTGGGGCCATGGCCTGGTCCCGGTACCAGCTGGGCCTGGCCGCCCTCATGCTGCTCACCGGCTCCATCAACACCCTGGCGGCCAAGTGAGTCCTCCCGGCGGCTGGGGGGGGACCCGCACCCCCGGGGCTGGGGTCCCGTAACGGCTCCGGCCCGCCTTGGGCCCGGGGCTGGGCCCACCGTCCCGCTGGGGAACCCTCTCGGGCCTCCTCCCCGCGGCACCCACAGCCCCGCGCAGGGACCGGGGGGGGCCCTGGGGCTGCCCCAGGCCGGGCCACGGTCCAGGCAGAGCCCCAGGACTTGCCCAGTGCTCCCCAGTTCGGGGGGCTGCCATTGCACTGGGGGGGGGCGGCGGGCCTGGGCTGTGGGGTGCCCCATAGGGACTGGGGCTGCTGCTTTGGGGGTCCAGCTCTTGGTGATGGGGGAGGAATGGGGGGGTGGGCTGCACAGCCCGGGGGGGCTGGGGGTCCCCAGCCCTCTTGTGCGTGCTGCTGAGGGGTGCAGGTCTCCCGCTGTGGGTGCCGTGCCTGGCCCCGGGGTGCTGGGGAGGAGCCGTGCGAGTGCCCCAAAAAGCCAAGTAGGGTCTGGATCGAGCTCCCTCCTAGGGGGAGCCCCCAGAGCACCCTGGGGTGCTCCCAGCCCTCGCAGTGAGGATGAGGATGGTGTTCCCCAGAGGTGCCCCAGCAAGGCAGACCTGCCAGGCCGGCTCGTCCCGCTGCCACCGGACAGACGCGTGGACGTCAGCAGGGTTTTGCCGGGTGGCCAGAGTTCAGCTGGCCCCGATGTTGCAGCAGGCCGAGGTCCTTGGATGGGGAAGCTGAGGCATGGAACCCTCGTGGGGCAGGGCAGAGCTGGGAGATGGCACCGAGCTTTCAGCCAGCTCACGAGACCCGTGTGTGGCCCGGCAAAGCCTCTTGCGAAACAGAGACCCGAGCTGGCCCGTGGCGGAGGGGCTGCGGCGTGTCAGCCGGGGCTGACTCACGCTGAAATCTTGCTGGCCTGGCTGAAAAGCCCCTTGCCGATCGGTGAGGGACAGACTGGGGATTGCCCCAACTTCCGCTCGTGCCCCTTTTCCCCAAGCTCAGCAGGTCTGCAGCCGCTCGGCATCAGCAAAAAGCCACCAGAGGGGAGCTGGGTGCCTGCCTGCCTGTGTTGGGGTGCACCCCCACCCTGGGGGTGTCTTGGGGGCAGGCAGCCAGCCAGCCAGCCACCGACTGAGAGGCTGGGGGCCCCCACCCATATGCGTGGTCCCTGAAGAGGGGAGATCCTTGCTAAAACGGGCCGTGGGGACCTGTGCTGCAGCCTGTGTTTATCCAGCGTTGCCCTCTGTGCTGCTTAGAATACCCAAAAGAGGGAGTTTGTGCCCCAAAACTGTGACTGGCGATGTAAGAAGTGGGAGCCGCTGCCCCCCAGCCTGTGATCCATCATCTTTTATGGGCCCTGTGTCCCTTAGCCCCCAAGTCTTCAAGGTGGGTGACATAGGGAGGAGGGAAGGGTTCGGGGTGACCCCCCGACCACACTGTCCTGGTCTCCCCAGCACGTGACGGTGCTGCCTGGCCGGCTCTGGCCGCGCGTGCCGGCAACGATGAGCACGGGGATGCCGGATTGCGGGGCTGTGCAACACAGCGGTGTCCATTTCCCTGCCTGTCACTCAGGGCTGGGAGCTGGGCCAGGAGCTGCCGGCAGGTTGGGGCAGCCACGGTGGTGTCTCCTTCCCTGCTGTCTCCATCCCTGTGGATGTTGTGTCCCTGGAGCTGTCACCTCGGGGGGCTGGTGACCCACACGACAGCCCTGGGCTGGCTTTCGGGGTGTGCTCTGGTTCCCCACAGCCCCCTGCTCTAACCACCACCCTCTCCTCTGCCTCGTAGGTGGGCAGACAACTTCAGCGCAACCGGCTGCAGCGGGACGGAGGAGCATGGCTTCCAGCACCCCTTCCTGCAGGTGAGCCCCCCACCCAGGGCAGGACGGGTCTTGCCAGCAGGGCCAGCCCCCTCACCCGCCTCTCTCACAGGCCGTGGGCATGTTCCTGGGTGAATTTTCCTGCCTGGGGGTGTTTTACCTGCTGGTGTGGAGGGATCGGTGGAGGCCAGAGCCCAGCATGGCCCCGTCGCAGCCCTTCAGCCCACTGCTCTTCTTGCCCCCCGCCCTCTGCGACATGACTGGGACCAGCATCATGTACGTGGGTAAGTGCTGGGGACGGGGATGCTGCCTCTGTCCCCCGCTTGCCCTGTGGGGATCCGGCCATGCCTGGGGCTGGACTCAGCTGTCAGGCTGCAGCACTCCATGGTGCATTCAGTTTTTGGGGGGAATGACCCTGAAGCCGGTTAGAGGGATCTGAGCAAACCCTTCCCACCCATGTGGCGAGTTGTGGCAGTGCTCAGTAAGCTGTGTTCCTCAGGGCACAGGCTTTCCATGGAGCAGGGACAGGGGGCCGCGTCTTGGCACGAGCCTCTCTGCTGCCAGCTCTAAGTAGGAGTGGGGTTGGACGGTGTTGCTGCCTCTTCCTTCCGTTAATCACTGATCTGCTCTTAACTACGGCAGCAGACTGTTAAGCAGAGGGTTGGTGGCATTAGCCAGCTCCAGCAGCATGTGTGTGCGACTCATGGGTCTGTCTCTCCCCATCCAGCCTTGAACATGACCAGTGCCTCCAGTTTCCAGATGCTGCGAGGATCTGTCATCATCTTCACTGGGCTCCTCTCCGTGGCCTTCCTGGGCCGCAAGCTGGAGCTGAGCCAGTGGCTGGGCATCCTGGTCACCATTGTGGGGCTGGTGGTCGTGGGGCTGGCTGACCTGCACAGCTCCCACGACCAGAAACACAAGCTCAGCGAGGTGATAACTGGTACGTGGTGGCCCATAGGGGAGGTGGGATGGCCACGGCGGGAAAAAACTTCCCACGGGGTGCGTGCCTGGCTCTCCAGGCATGGCTCAGCCATGCTGCCCATCCAGTGGGCAGGGAGATGGGTGCTCAGCCTCCCCTTCCTTTCTCTCCCCTTCCTTTCTCTCCCCTTCCTTTCTCTCCCCTTCCTTTCTCTCCCCTTCCTTTCTCTCCCCTTCCTTTCTCTCCCCTTCACGCAGGCGACTTGCTCATCGTCATGGCGCAGGTCATCGTTGCCATCCAGATGGTGCTGGAGGAGAAGTTTGTCTACAAGCATGACGTGCACCCACTGCGGGCCGTCGGCACCGAAGGTCTGTTGCGACATAGTCAGGGGGGCTGAGCACTCGAGGGGTGCTGGATCCTGCAAACTCAGCCTGGGGAGGGCTGCTTTGTGCTGGGGGGATCACAGGCAGCGAAGGGGCTGCTGCTGGGGCGGGGGCTTGGGTCCCACGGGGCAGGGAGAATTAGCTGGGGCAGGGGGGGATAGGCTGCCCTGGGTGGTTCTTGTGGCCAGCACCCATCTGACCGTCTGACCCCCACTTGCACCCAGGTTTCTTCGGCTTCATCATCCTGGCCCTGCTGCTGGTTCCCATGTACTACATCCCGGCGGGCAGCTTCAGTGGGAACCCTCGGCGGACGCTGGAAGACGCCCTCGATGCCTTCTGCCAGATCGGCCACCGGCCCCTCATCGCCCTGGCCCTGCTGGGTAACATCAGCAGCATCGCCTTCTTCAATTTCGCCGGCATCAGCGTCACCAAGGAGATCAGTGCCACCACCCGCATGGTGCTGGACAGCCTCCGCACCCTCGTCATTTGGGCCGTCAGCCTGGCCGTGGGCTGGGAGACCTTCCACGGCCTGGAGATCTTGGGTTTTGGGGTGCTGCTGGTCGGTGCTGCTCTTTACAACGGCCTGCACCGACCCCTGCTCGCCCGCCTGCCCCGGCACGTGGAGGAGACCGGCGGGGTGGCCGAACGGGAGGGCTTGCTACGGGGGGAGAGCACGGCCATCAACAGTGAGAGCTGAGCCCTCGCTACCGCTGCCCCGTGTCGGGCTTGACCCCGGGGTTTATTTCCCTGGACCCTCTCTCCTCCCCTCGTCGGGAGGCGATCGGCGCGGTGGTGGTGACGCCGGCCCCCGTCTTGCTGCCGTTTGCAGGAGAAACCTCTCCCCTGCCTTGCTGCCGGGGCTCTGGGAGGGGATGGCGAGGCTGTGCCTGCCCTTCCCGGCAGGGAGCGGACCCCAGCCGGCTGTCTGGGGGAGATTGAAGCCTCTGCCCCTGTTCCCAAGGGGCTCAGGTTGGGGGGAGGGGGTGGTGGTGAGGCTGGGGTCGGGGCTGGCCCCGCTGTTCCGCGACCTGTGTCTCCCCCCAGTAAAGTGCATCTGCTCATGGCTGGCTCGCTGGGGGTCTGTGCTGGCTGTGGGGAGGGTCCTGGGGGGGATGCTGGGGGCTGGCCCCCAGGCTGGCTGAGGACCCAGCACCCAGACCCCTTTCACTTGGGGTGTGGGAGAAGGCAGTGAGCCCTGGGGTCCTGGGGGGAGGCTCCTTCCAGGCCGGGTTTGGGGGCAGCTGTGTCCTTGTGTCATCCCCCCCTCCCCATTTTGCAATATCCGATGATCGGCCCCAGGCACACACGGCTGCTTTTTGCGACATTTATTTGCTCGGCGGGTCTTGTCCCAAAGATGCACCAGAGAGCACAGTCGGGGTGTTTGACTCTACCTTTATTTTCTGTGTGTTCGGGGCCCGTGGTGGGACCCCAGCAGCGGTGGTGGCGGGGGGGAGGGCAGTGGCAGCGGCATTCAACCCCCCCCCGGCACAGGGACGGGCCGGCGGAGGGGGCTTGGGGCACCGGGGCTGCGGCGGCGATGGGGAGCAACACCCGGCTACTCTCTGCCGGAGTAAAGAAGGGAGGGGGTGAGCCATGGCGTGGCCCCCTCCCCCGCCCCAAACCCCAGCCCTGTCCACGGGGATGGCAGGGGGGGTCCCAGACTCACATGGTATTTTGCTTGTAGTGCTGAAGCGCCTGCTCGGCCACGATCTCCATGAAGCGGGGGTCCTCCCAGGAGATGTCCCCGGGCACGGTGAGGGACAGCGGCTCCGAATCGAAGAGCTGCACCGTCACCTGCGTGTCAGGGGGGGCCGAGGGGTCTTCGAGGTTGGGAGCCTTGGAGAGGACCTGGAGAGGGGGGAGACAAAGCAGGGAAAGCCGGGTTAGCCCTCACGCCGGCCCCTCACCCTGGCACCCGGCCCTGCAGCCGGCTATTATGCCGAGAGGCAGCCGGTCGGGCGCACAATCGCTTCTTTCTCCCCCTGACCCACTTTCCGTGGCCACCGGCCCTGCCTGGGGAGGGGGGGACGGGACTGGAGCCCTCTGACCGTGCCGCAGCGCCGGTGGGACTCACCGTGGTGACCTGGAGGAAGCCGTCGGTGCCTTGGGTGATGTTGGCCAAACGCGAGACCCAGCCAAACTGGCTGTTGAGCTGGTCCAGGAGGCTGGTGGTGTTGAGCATCTCGGCTTGGAAGGCGCGGAGGAGGTCGTCGTAACGGCGGGTGAAGCGTTCGGCCAGGCGCAGCGCGTCCTCCAGCTGCTCCCGCAGCTGGCTCTGGGCAGGGTCCGTCTGCCAGCAGTCTGCGGGGAGGGGGGGAAAGTTTGGGGGGGCATCAGGGGGTGTCAGGGCTCACCCCCAGCCCCGCTGCGTGCACCCCACCACATCTCCTCCCCTACGTGCGTCCCTCCTGCCCTCCCCCGGCACCGTTCACGGTCCCTGTCCCGTCCCAGCTCACCCACGGAGAGGATCTCCCGGCATTTCTCGCACTCATCCCGCATCCGCAGGCAGCCGGCCGAGTTACGCCGGATTTCCCGACACACCATGCGCTCGTTGCTGAAGTTACGAGACTCTGTGGAAAGCCCAGCCTGGCCTCAGCACCCCAGAACACTGCAGAGTGGGGGGGCGGCAGTGCCACAGACCCCCCCAACACCGGGCAGAGCTGTGGGGCCAGCCCCGGCCAACACCCTGGGGGGCCATAAAAGTGCTTTTTCCGGGGAATTTTGACACACACCCCCAGCTGTTTTTTCCCAAGCAAAGCACTCCCTGCCAACCTCCCTTTCGAAATATCCCTTTTCCCAGCCGCCCGAGCCGGGGCCGCAGTGGCAGACGGTGACGGCACCAGTAACCGGGCTGCAACCAGCGTTGCCTGCCCAAAACAAACACCTTCCCAGGACGGTGGCAGCTCCGGCAGCCAAGAGTTGGTGCAGGGAGGGGAAAACCCAAAACCCCAGGCCAGCTCTGCAAACAGTGGAGCTTGTGATTCCTGGGCTCCCATGGGGATTCTCTGATGTGTCGTATTAGGGTTGAGCTCATCCTCTAAGTTAGTCCCCCCCTAATAAGGGGGGGGGGGTGTGTGGGGTGTGCTGGGAAGCCCTGCCGGTTCCAGCCAAACTGGGGAGCCCACGACACCCAGCCCACGGCGAGCACCCTACCTGAGGCAAAGCCACCCAGTGGGTGCTCCCAGCTGCCCTGCATTTCCTCCAGCATCCGCTGCGTCATCTCAAAGAGCGGCTGGAAGAGGTGGTGGAAGCTGTGGTGGGGATGCTGGAAGAAGGGATGCAGGTCCCGGGAAAACCTCCCGCTGCGCAGGGGCAGGCGGACGTGCTGGACGGGGGGTCGGAAAGCCTCGCGGAAGCTGCCAAAGGGTGCTCGGAAGAAGGGGTACATGCGGCTGTAGACCTGGGTGCTGTCCTGGAAGATGTCATCCACCCCATCTTCCAGCAACCCAAAACGCTCTTCCAGGTCCTCGAACTGCCGCTCCTGCCGCTGGTCCCGCTCCAGCAGCGAGTCGATGCGCTCGCCGTTCACCCAGATGGAGAAGGGTGAGGAATGGTTGAGGAATTCCTCCAGCTGCCAGGCAAGGGAGCAGGATCAGGCCAAAATCCCCCCCGACCTCAGCATCCCTGGGTGCTGCGGGACCACTCACCTGCCGCCCCACCAGCCCCGAGCCGCTGCGGCACGTGCGGGAGTAGAAGCGCATGCAGGTGTGCTTGAGGCAGGGCTTGCACTCTTCCCAAAGCGCCAGCATCGTCTCGTTGCACACCTCCTGCTTCGCCGCCAGCTGCTGCTCCTTCTCCCGGGCCAGCTGCACCGCCTCCTGCAAGGCATCCGCATCCAGCCCCGAGGGCATCCCCCCCCCGCTCCCGGGACACGTGGACCCCGGGGCACGGCATCCCCCGAGCCCTTCGGATGTGCTCAGCCCAGGGGCCCTGGGTACCAGGACCACCCTCCTCATCCTCACTCACCTCCTTCCTCCTCTTGGTCTCCTCCAAGGTGTGCAGGATGGCTTGGTGGTCCTTACTGGTCTTGTCCATGAGGGTCTTCATCTGCTTCACCCCGTTGATGGCGTTTTCCACCTCCGTGTCGATGTATTTGCTGCCGGCTGCCGACATCTCTGGAGGAGGGGGGAGGAAGAGCATCCCTCGGCCGGCCGCTCCCAAGGCGGCGGTGGGAGCCCCAGCAGCGCATGCAAATATTTGCGGGTGCAGAGTCCTGTTTGTTCGCCAGCGGCCCGATTCCAGCTCACAGAACCCGAGAAAAGTGACCCAAAATCTCGCCCGGGCTGGGGGGCGCGTCTCCCTGCCCGTCACCCCCAATATTTGGGCAGCGCTGCCCGTGAATCCCCAGCTGCCCCCCGGGAATGGCCTTGGACCCCCCATCCGGCCATCGCCACCGGCTCTCGCTGTGCCCCCACCAGCCCTCGCCTGGCCAGCCCAGGGGGATCTCTGGGGGCAGGATCTTCCTTTGTGTGTCCCCCCGCAAAGCATCCGGCCCCAGCCCCTCACGGAATGATGCTCTGTGCCCCCTCCATCCAGCCCCCCGAGGGGTGATGCCGTGCCTCCTCCATCCAACCCCCCCCCGTGGGCACAGCGCTCCCCCCACCCCACAGCCAT